GTTTTCTCAAAAGCCCTAAATCTTTTAAGTTTTTAAAATAAGTTTTAATTTTTCCCTCAGTCTCACTGAGGAACTACTTACTGGGGAAATATCACCATCAATAAGTCCGCCCGTACACTCTCATGGGGGGTAGCTGTGTGTGGGAGTGTGTGTCGTCTTTCATTCAGTCGTATCATCTCAGTGAGCTAGCTAGCTAGTTAGCTATGGTATGTACTATGGACTTAATGAAGGACATAACAAAGCTAAACATTCATTCTGTGAACTCTACTCTAGCATAGTTGAACTAAACATAGGTTTCAAGATTAGTCATTTTAAATTCCTACCCTATCTAACAACATCCAACTATTTTTGCCTCTGTTTAGGTCACAGGAGAGAAAATGGTCTTTAACAAGTTTGTATTCTGGTTCCAGAATTATAAAGACAGTTGGAGAACAATATGATACAAACCAGAATGTAGGCGCTACACGATGATTTATTTCCTGGGCAATTTTTCCGTTTCCGTTTTTTCGTGTTTTTCCCAAATTCAGTACAGATTTGTAGGCAATCTATTAGCCCAACTGAAAAATAGTGCATAAGCTGCCATAAATGGGAAGCAAGCAAGCCCCAAGACCTCCCTAGGTTTGGGCTAAACATCTCTGCCCCTGGTGTTACACATAATGATGCTGCAACTGGCTAAGATTTATATGGTTGTTTCATGTGTATTGTTGAACGGCTTCAAGAATGTCCCCCACAACTTCTGAAATCAAACCCATAGGCTTCAGTACAGATACATCCACCCTCATTGAGACTGCAGGACTGGATTCACTTTCACTTCAAACAACATAAAAATTATATTGCATTATGTCAGACACCAAGATTAAAAGGATCTGAAAACAATAAAAGAATGAATCTACCGTCTGTTTACACTTAAACTGAGCGCACTGGAGGAAGAAAAGCTTTTATCTAATATTTGTATGATGAGTGAATATTAAAAGAAAGAGGCGGTGTAATGAAACAGACTGTGTAGGTAGATAGAATTAAACCCTGAGGGGCTTCGGGGAGCTTCTCACCTCAGAAATGAGCAAAGTAATGAGCGCATCAAACATAAAAGGAGCTTGTAAATTGATAAACGGGGGTTATGTGAAAGCACACATTTAATTTCAATGTTTGAAAGTTAAATAAAATTTACTTCATTTTTTTAATGTAGAAGGTTTCTGCAGAAAAACCTTTGGAACCTTTATATTATAAATGCTTTGTTTGTTGGTATCCATTATTATGTTTGTATACCAAAAACTCACTTCATGACATGAATTCAATGTGTCATTATGAACAATTTCAAGACATTTCCTGATACTTTAAGGACAGAATCATTTATGTTTTATATAATATATTGAAAATTTTTTCTGATGATGTGTCCTTCACATCCTGCGCCTAGACATAATGTAGTAATTTCATCTCATTTTCAGTCATCTTATGCATCTGAGCTTTGTTTGAACCCACTTTATTTGAAGTGTTACTGAAGACCCAGAAGTTTCCAAAGAAATGCTCAGACCTTTTACTTTAGTAAAAACAGCAATACCGTGCAGAAATACTCTGTTACAAGTGAAAGTTCTAAATTTTACTTCAAAATTACAAAAGTATTAGCATCAGAATATGCTTAAAGTAGCAAACGTATGTAAGATGGCTGATTTGCTGTTGCTGATTTTGTTATGTGTCTATCACTTTAATGTTCCAGCTGATAAATGTGGATCCCTGACCAAGGCATCACATGCTGAAAACATCATTTTTAAAAGACAGATTACTCACATGATGTGATGCGTACTTCACAGTTGATTACTTCCCCCATAAAAACTGCAGAAAAACACTACTGTAACACTGAAACATTTCAACATTTGTCACTTTTTATCTGTTAGTCTGAATGTTTCGGCATGGTTTGTACACATATATACTCACATACACATTTTTATGCTTGTAATTAAAATCCAACAAAGTCTGAACTTCACAGGACCAAATGAAATCAGCATCATATCTTATTCCAAATGATAGAGCTGAAGAAACCTTCTCTACCTGAACGAGACTTGAGAAGATGAAAGTGGAAATCCAGGACCTGGACCAGAGCCACAATCAGGTCCGATGAAGCTGGGACAAGAAACAACCTGCTGCTGGCAATCTCTGGTGGGTAATTCAGCTCCTGACTAGAGTCTTTAAAGGTTGTGATCCACTAAGGAGAAACACTGCCCTGTTCACCTTCCAGGTTGTTCACCCTGAAGGTTTCACGCTGGAAAAATTAAAGCAGAGCACCGTGAACACTGCAGGCTGACATCGTGTCCTGATGGAGAGTGACAAATATTATTGATCAACAAAGTCTTCACTGCAGAGATAAAAAGCTGCAGACAAAGCAGGTCAGAGGCGAAAGAGCAGATTAACACAGGTAGACATGTTTATAAAGGAGAGAGAACCCCCCCACACACAAACACACACCCACACACCCACACACACAAAGTCATTACATTGATTATCTGCTGACCTGCTGCTTTGACTTAATTCACTTCAGAGAAAATGATTAGCGGAAGACAAATGCTCTCACTGATGAACACATGATTGAATGAATCAAACTCTCTGAGAATCTGAACTCTTATCACTTTAATGGACAACAGACTTAAAGCTGAAATCCTTTAAAATGTGTCTGAACACCAAAATCTACCAAAGTACGGAGACTTTACTGAGCTTCACCTTCACCAGACAGAGCTCAGACCTGGACTATGTTGTATAACCCCAGAGCAATTGGAGATTCTTGTACTTTACCTGAGTCTTTTCTTTTCATCACACTTTACACTTCATTTGTCTGACAGCTGTAACTACAGACATTACTCTTTTGTCACACTAAACATATGGCGAGAATACAATGTATTGTTTTATACTAAGTAGTGACAATGAGTAGTGACGCTTTATTTAACAGGTCCTGTTACTTCCTGGAAAGATTTATGTAATTTAGTAGAAATTACAGGAAAGTAAAGACAATGTCTGTGACACTGTGCTTTTATAAAAAAAAATTGATTTGCAGAGAAATTTCCATTAAGGCTAAAATGTGTCCATTTTCTTTAACTAGTATCAAATTACATATTTCTTTGCAGGAACCTTCAGACAAATAAGTTACATATCTGTTACTTTATAGGAAATGACTGTGCAATGTATTGCTTGATGAATTAATACGGGCAACATTAGTACACTCACAGGGCAATGACAACACGTGTAAAATATGACACATTAGGCAGGGGGATCTTGGCTCCTTTTAATAAAACATGGGCTCCCCTGAGAACATAAATTGTGGGAAAAAAATTTTGGGGGGGGGTCTCTAAAATATTAACATTATATATTATTATTATTATTTTATTGCCATGTATTTCTATTTTTCTGTATCTTTCTAATTTTTACTGCGTTACACCAGTAGTTCCCAAACTTTTCCAAAAAACGAATTTCCTATCAGTTAGTAAACTGAAGATGAAGTGATGAAGAGACTTCCGTTTATGGCGTCCACCTAGGAAGACGTGCTTCGCGCTGCTCTGCCTTAGCCACTAACATTTCTACTAAAAATACTCGCAATTGTAACATAACTTGGTAATATAGGGTGAGCTTGGATATTGTAATGCCGAAGGCTGCCAATTTAAGTAAAGGAAAAAGCAAACCGTCAAAGCAGCCGAAGCTACTTGACTACCGTATTTGTGGTGAAACACAGAAAGCTAACGAGGACATGGCGGAGGACGAGGCTAGTGGTGGGGGGACACTCGGAGGTGCGACGGTGGATGTGGTGCTCGTTGCTATAAGCTCCATGAAAACTGAGTTTTCTTCAAGATTTGATGGAGTTATGGCGGCGCTAAATGACTGCAGAGCGAGTGTCGCAGGCAGAGCTGCGGATATCAAACGCCGAGGACAATAGCAGGTTTGCAGGCTAAAGTCCACACGCTGGAGTCAAAAAATAAGACTTTGGAGGACAAGCTTTTGTACTTGGAAACCAGATCCGGCTTAAATAACTTGAGACTGGTGGGTCTGCCGGAGGGTGCCTAGGGACGGGACCCATGCTCCTTTTTGGAGAAGTGGATCCCGGAGGTACTGGATGCTGCGGCTAATATTGAACGGGCACACCGAATCGGACAAGCGAGGGACTCAAAGGCGCCACTGAGAACACTTATAATGAAGTTTCTCAACTACAAGGACGAGCGGGCAGTTATGGAAGCTGCAAGGGCTAAAAAGGACATCCGCTACAAGGAACAGCAAGTACGGTTTTACTCCTCCTTCGACCTAATCCGCCAGGAGCTGCGCAACTTGGGGATCCGACATGGAGTGATTCACCCCGCCAGACTGCTGATAACTATGGAAGCGCATTGCATTCACTGG